AAACATGTTCTTGCCACCTCAAAGTTGCCGCTACACGGGTGGGCATTCGGTGTAATCTTCATTCCCCCACCAAAATATTTGGCGTTCCCAATGCAAAGAGCTGTTACCTTAGGGTAAGTTTCCCACTCGCCATCATCAAACTAGCAGGATTATCATATATGAAAATACATATCAGGAAAAAACCAAACAATCAGAACGAAAATTCATTAAAAGGAATTAATAAAATGAGACAGATACCTTTATTCTAAGGTCCCGGTTATGGTGACTGAAAAAAGCTTGCAAAGCACCAATTACGTAACAGAGTTTTCCAAACTTCTTGTATCTCGAAGCATAATAACCAGCCTTTGCACTCCTGCAAGGTTGAGATAATCATCAATAAAAAGTAAATATATAATTTCCGGTCAAGGGTATACTTCCACACACTCTCAAAAATACATGCTTACAAATGAATATCAGCAACATTAACAAAATAGTGTGGTTCTCCCCTTTCTCCAGCAATAACTCCAACATCAATTCGTGATCTAATCCCTGAAAGTAATGTATTGTCAGGGTTGCTTTCCATTGACCAGGTAAAAAAAATTACCTAATGAGTCCTATAAAAGGAGAAGCAAGTAGGTTACCTTTAGAAGTACGTTCAATGGCATCACAAGGATCGTTTTTCCTGATAAAACCAAAGCAGGGAAATAGTTCGATTTAATATCGAGTTAATGAAATAGCAAATGCACGGAAGCTTCATTCATGAAACCAGAACCAGAAAATTGAACTAACCAACGAAACGTTCTTGCAAAATCAGAACCAGTTCCCAGTGGAATTAGCTGTATGAAAAGAAAGAAGACAACCATTCTACAATGATAATANGAAGACGACCATTCTCCAATGATAATATTATTCAATTTTGAGAAGGGACTCATGCTAGAACTCAGTTTCGCTAATAAGAAAAAACTATTATCGCAAATTAAAGATGGTGATTATTACTCACACCAAGAGCAGTTGCACGGACAGACTGATCACTATTCGAAACAGGTTTTCCATCCCAGAAAAAGCCATTAACAACCTGCAGTTATCAGTTTAATTGGATACAGTTAACACACTGAGGGTAGAGTGGCATCAAAGAAGACACAACCTATAGAATGACTTGCAATAAATCTATGACAGCTCACAGAAATGAGTTATTCCTTTTTCTTCTCCTTTTCTTTGTTATTCCCTTTTTGCTAAGGAAATAGATTAGATTCTGTAATTACAGTTTGCTTGTATAAATACACGTGCACACACACACATGTATTTATACCTGTTAGTGCATGGTGTACAAACAATTGCTTTCCTTACTGCAGATTGTTTACTGCAGAAGTATGAAACTAGATTATACAGAAAGATAGACCTATCTGCATTGTTTAACACAACTAGTTAAAATGGGAAAAGCAAACTGGCATATTGTTTTCCACTCCAGCATAGAGCAAAACTGATGCGTCAAAGACTTCTCAGCAATATCAATTATCTAATCACTCATAGCCTCTATTTCTGAGCCACGAACAAAAAAAGGTCCATGACAAAGCAAATTAAAATAGGGAAAAGCTACCGTTGGTAGAGATAGAATAACAATTTCAACTCGTTGTATACAGTGCAGTAAAAACAAAAATTTCACAGCTCATGCTGGAGCACTTTTGTAGAGAGAGTAAGTTATGTGCGAGCTACAATGTAACTAACACTAAAAGAAATAAAAATACACCTCATGAAGAGTTCCATCTCCTCCAACCGCAATCACTGCATCAGCACCGTCACGTATAGCCTGCCCAGAATAACAGTTAATTACACATCTAAATGGCTTTTTCTTTTC